CGTTCCAGACTTCAGGCTGTAATTGACTGCAATGGATTTGCAACCAAGTATTAAAAAAGTGAAAGTTTGATTTATGATTATTATTCTGTCCCATTACTTTTGGTTCCTTAACAAGTGGGAGGCAAAATATGCAAACTGTTGTAATTCCTACACTGTTCACCTGATTTGGAGGTAAATATCCTGAAATTAAAGCTGACAGTCTGCAGTGAAAGCACATCTTGTTCATTTTATTTCAAATCCATTGTGGTGGTGTATAGAGCCAAAAATGTTAGAATTGTGTCGATGTCCCAATATTTATGGACCTGACTGTATTATATATATAGAAAGTATATTTTCTCTGTTTATATATATATATATATATTTATACCGTATTTTTCGCCATATAAGACGCTCCGGAATATAAGACGCACCCAATTTTAACCACTTCCCGACCGGCGTTGTATATAAACGGCCGGACGGTGGCACTGCAGGGTCGGGTGGCCGTCTATAAACGGCCTCCCCGCACCCTGCTTGTGCGCGCTCCCTGGGAGCGCGCAGCACCGCGATCCGGTGCCCGCTGTGTCCTCCAGGACACAGTGAAACACCGATCGTCGGACAGGACCTCTGTACGAGGTCCCGATCATGTGATCACTGATTGGCCAATCAGTGATCACATGCAAAGTAGTAAGCAAGATGTCACTTCTGACATCATTGCTTACTATGTGTGAAATCTGTGAATGATCACAGAGGTCACATGGTACAAGGCTATTCACAACAGCCTTGTACCATGTGACAAGCTGTGACCAATCACAGCTCACTCTGTATTTCTCAATGAGTGCAGGAATGCACACAGAGAAAAGAGAAATGATTGCTTTTACATCCTATATGGGTGTAAAAGCAATCAGTGTAAAAAAAAAAAAAAAAATCTTTATCACCCCTCACAAGTAGTACAGTGTCACCATGGTGACACTGTACTGCTAGGGTGACAGTATGTAAAAAAAAAAAAAAAATAAAAAAAAAAAAATAATATAAAAAAATAAAATAAAAATGTAAAAAAAAATGTTTAAAAATTATAATTTTTGCTTATAAACTAATTTGGATTTTTTTTTTTTACTAAAAAGATAACGGAATACATTTTGGCTAAGATTTTTGATGAAATATTATTTATTTGCAAAATTTATAAAAAAAAAAATACACTTTTTTAAAAAAATTTTTGGACATTTCATTTACATAGCAAAAAAAATACAAATCCCAGTGGTGAATAAATACCACCAAAATAAAGCTTTATCTATCTAAAAAAAAAAATGGTAAAAATTTCATTTGGGTACAGTGTTGCATGACCGCGCAATTGTCATTCAAAGTGTGATAGCGCTAAAAGCTGAAAATTGCCCTGGTCAGGAAGGGGGTAAAAAGTGTCTGGTCTGGAAGTGGTTAAAGGAGGAAAATCTAGAAAAAAAAGATTCTGAACCCAATACATATAGTAATTCATCCCCCATATAGTAATTCATCCCCCATAGAAATTCATCCCCCATATAGTAATTCATCCCCCCTATAGTAATTAATCCCCCATATAGTAATTAATCCCCCATAGTAATTCATCCCCCATATAGTAATTCATCCCCCGTATAGTAATTCATCCCCCCTATAGTTAATTCATTCCCCATATTGTGTCAATTCACTTACCTTTGCTCCTCGCATTCCTCTCGCCGTGTTCCCGTGCCGTTCCGGTCTTCAGGGCTGATCCACAAGCAGAGGGGGTGATGACGTCAGCGCGCACCGCTGGGTGTACTAAGATGGCCGACCGCTCCAGAGATAGGCCAAAGCCGCGGCCTTTCCTACGGCCGTGGCCGCTCCTCACGGATTCTCTCTCTATTCGTTGTATAAGACGCACCAACTTTCCCCCCCCAGTTTTGGGGAAGAAAAAGTGCGTCTTATACGGCGAAAAATACGGTATATATGCTTTGCGGAGACACTGTTGTGATAATTGCACTCTCAGCCTCACCCTGCACAAAGATTTACCAGTGTGTGAGATTAAAATCCTGCCAGCGGAGTAATTGTCACTGGAGTTGGTTAACTCCTCAGTTAACCCTTTACAGACATGAACAGTAGCAGCCACCATATGTTTTAAGAAAACACACACTGTTCAGTGCACCTGCTGTAGTAGTTTGCAACTTTAAGAAATGTCTGTGATTGCATGTAATATTCTAATTTTCTGAGATTGTGGATTTGGGGTTTTCATGAGCTGTAACCCATAATAATCACAATTATGACAAATCACAGCTTGAACTATCTTGCTTTGCATGTAATGAGTCTATCTCATATATTAGTTTCACCTTTTAAGTTGCATTACTGAAATAAATGAACTTTTGCACGATATTCTAATTTTTCGAGTTTCACCTGTATATGCGGCCACCCACCCAGAGGCTGCATATATGTGTCTGGACACGGGGAAGAGGTTAAAAGGAAATTGATGTTTTTATACCTGTTTGTCATACATGGTGTACCCATGATACCAGAATTCCATAAACTTATGGGGTTTTTCAAGGAGTTCACAACAGAAGCCTTTTGACGATAGCTAACAGAAACCAACTAGAGGGAAGGGTGGATTCACTGTTCTTTCACTTGTGTCTACGTGTGCATTTCAGCTTAAAGGATACGTTCACCTTTTTAAAAAAAAAAAATATAAAAATAAATGCACATATTTTTTGCAGGTAAAAATAATGTGCATTTATTATTTTTTACTAGGAGCTTGCAAAGCATTGCACCCACAATCATTGAGAACTATAATCTGACAGCTGCATAGGTTATCAGAACTTGTAGCTCTGCTATTCACAGAACTCTGTGAATAAATAACACGGCCATTCAAAGTGTTCCTTTATTATTTTTGAGCAGTGTATATATACACTGCTCAAAAAAATTAAAGGAATTCAACACTTTGAAAACACACCAGATCTCATTGGTGAATATCATGCTGGATAAAAAAAACTGATATGAACTGGGTAATGTGTTAGGAATGTAAGGATGCCCCATTGTTTGTAGATTGATAATTTTCATTTCCATCAGAGGACTGAAATCAAAGACACCCCAAAATCAAAGTGAAAAAAATTATGTAGCAGGCTAGTCCATTTTGCTGAAATTTCATTGCAGCAACTCAAAATGGTACTCAGTAGTTTGTATGGCCCCCATGTGCTTGTATGCATGCCTGACAACATTGGGGCAAGCTCCTAATGAGACTATGGATGGTGTCCTGGGGTATTTCCTCTCAGATTTGGACCAGGGTATCACTAAGCTCCTGGACATTCTGAGGTGAACCCTGGGGGAGTCAGATGGACCAAAACATGATATACCAGAGGTGTTCTATTGGATTTAGGTCAAGCGAGCATAGGGGCCATTCAATGGTTTCAATTCCTTCATCCTCCAGGAACTGCCTGCATACTCTCACCACATGAGGCCAGGAATTGTTGTGCATCAGGAGGAACCCAGGACCCACTGCACCAGTGTAGGGTCTGACAATGGGTCCAAGGATTTCATCCTGATACCTAATGGCAGTCAGGGTGCCATTTTCTAGCCTGTAGAAGTCCGTGCATCTGTCCATGGATATGTCTCCCCAGACCATCACTGACCCACCATCAAAATGGTCATGCTGAACGATGTTACAGGCAGCATAATGTTCTCCACGGCTTCTCCAGACCCTTTCATGTCTGTCACGTGCTCAGGGTGAACCTACTCTCATCTGTGAAAAGCACAGGGCACCAATGATGGACCTGCCAATTCTGGTGTTCAATAGCAAATGCCAATCAAGCTCTATGGTGCCAGGCAGTAAGCACAGGGCCCACTAGAGGATGTTGGGCACTCAGGTGGCCCTCATGAAGTCTATTTCTGATTTTTTTGGTCAGAGACATTCACACCAGTGGCCTGCTGGAGGTCATTTTGTAGGGCTCTGGCAGTGCTCATCCTGTTCCTCCTTGCACAAATTAGCAGATACCAGTTCTGCTGATGGGTTAAGGACCTTCTACGGCCCTTGTCCAGCTCTCCTAGAGTAACTACCTGTCTCCTGGAATCTCCTCCATGCTCTGGAGACTGTGCTGGGAGACAGAGCAAACCTTCCGGCAATGGCATGTATTGATGTGCCATCGTGCAGGAGTTGGAATGGCTGTGCAACCTCTGTAAGGTCAAGGTATCTCCTCATACTACCAGTAGTGACACTGACCCTAGCCAAATGTAAAACTAGTAAAAAAAAACAGTTAGAAAAGATGAGTAGGGAATAAAATGTCAGTGGCCCCCACCTGTAAAACCATTCCTGTTTTGGGAGTTGTCTCATTGTTGCCCATCTAGTGCACCTGTTAATTTCATTAACACCAAAGCAGCTCAAGCTGATTAACAACCCCCTCTGCTACTTAACTGACCAGATCAATATCCCAGGTTTTTAATTGACTTGATGCTATACTCTGATTAAAAAATGTTACTTTAATATTTTTGAGCAGTGTGTGTGTGTATATGTGTGTATATATATATATATATATATATATATATATATATATATATATATATATATATATTGTGTACTCTGAAAGTTATTAACAACTTTCCATGATTAATAAAACAGTTCCAGATTACCTACAAATGCAGTCTGGCTGGATCTTTATAATCCCCATTCTAGCCATGCATGCACAGTTTGCTCAATATTGTTGGTAAAATAGTGAACTCTCTACAGTTGAGAAACTGTTACCCTCTCTTCTAGCATTTCTATTTAATGTGCATGGACCTATTGTTGGTCAATTTTTTACGTTTAAGCCACACCAGTCTCACCACCCCCAGCTTTGATGACAAATGTGTGGCTGACATCTGATTTTGTAAATGTAAAAAAACAAGATGAGCAGTATGTAATATATACTTTTTATTAATGCCCTGATGGCAATATAAGTGTTTTTCATCAGCTATTTGGCATAGAATCATCCTTTTTTTTAACACATTAAATTACTGACTGAAAAGGTCTCTCTTCTCAGCTGGAAGGTGCTCCCATGAGTAATACTGCTGGATCCAAGACATTGCTGCGACTTCGAAGGATGACTCCATTTTGGAGAGGACTATCCCTGCGTCCAGTTGGTGCTTCATGCAGAGATGACACGGAATGTCTTACAAGACTGTGCAGGTAATGGACTCATGAAATGCACTGCCTTGGTAAGCCAATGCTACGTTTGCCTGAGAGTGACTACTTATGACATTGATCTACCTGCTGCACCAAAAAAAAAGAAACAACCTCAGGGCATGAATAAACATGAAAGACTTACACTAGTAAAAGGTTCCTTCCCCTGTTTTGTTTATTAAGGTACTTTCCTTTTGATATTCCATAGCAGCAGGGCAGATTAGCAACTAAAATTAACCTATCAGTTTAACATTCATGGAGAATGTGTAAGGGTGTGCAATATGTTCATCAATATACAGACTTGTCTTGTAAGGAGTAATAAAACAGAACCATTAGCTCTGCAAACAAAAAAGCATATAATGCTTATAATGTGATTCCAAACTATACATACAACCACTTTAAGGCCTCCTCCCCTCTTCTTCTTTGACATTTGGCAATCTTTTTGGGAAGGAAGGGAGTGGGTACCTGGTTTCTATACGTTTCCTTTTAAGGGTATTTACATTGAACTTAGATGTCTGGTTTTGAAACACTACTTTAACCACTTGGCCTCCAGAGGATTTACCCCCCTTCCTGACGAGGCCATTTTTTGCGTTACGGCGCTGCATTAATCTAACTGACAACTGCACAGTCATGCAATGCTGCAACCAAACAAAATTTACGCCCTTTTTTTCCCCCCTGAAATAGAGCTTTCTTTTGGTGGTATTTGATCATCTCTGCGTTTTTTATATTTTTTGCGCAATAAAAAAAAGACTGACAATTTTGAGAAAAAAAGGCAATATTTTTTACTTTTTGCTATTAAACATGTCCATTAAAAAAATTTTTAAAAATCAAGTTTCGCCATAAATTTAGGCTAAAATGTATTCTGCTACATGTCTTTGCTAAACAAAAAAAAAAATCCCAATATGTGTAAATTAATTGGTTTATGTGAAAGTTACAGCGGTTACAAATGGCGGTATATATACTGGAATTTTTCTTTTTTATTTCTCTTTTATTTTTAATAGTAATGGCAGCAATCAGCGGCTTATAACGGGACTGGGGGGGGAACTGACTTGGTGTCACTGACATCCTCAGTGACACCAATACAGTGATCAGTGCTATGCACAGCCATGCAAAGCAGTGTGCAGAAGCTGACAGAGGGCAGAACTGTTTTGTTTACAAACAGTTCTCACCTGTTGGAGATGCTCGGCAATCACTGGGAGCTGATGAGTAATCACCAGCCGGGACCCAGTGATTGACAGCTGATGCTTCGAATGGCAGCTTGAGAAGGGTGCGCGCGCCCCCTATCCTGAAATGCAAAATCATGTGTGTGTATATATACAGTGGGGATCGAAAGTTTGGGCACCCCAGCTAAAAATTTGTATTAATGTGCATAAAGAAGCCAGGGAAAGATGGAAAAATCTCCAAAAGGCAGCAAATTACAGATTAGACATTCTTATAATATGTCAACAAAAGTTAGATTTTATTTCCATCATTTACACTTTCAAAATAACAGAAAACAAAAAAATGGCGTCTGGAAAAGTTTGGGCACCCTGCAGAATTTATAGCATGTACTGCCCCCTTTGGCAAGTATCACAGCTTGTAAACGCTTTTTGTAGCCAGCCAAGAGTCTTTCAATTCTTGTTTGAGGTATCTTTGCCCATTCTTCCTTACAAAAGTCTTCCAATTCTTTGAGATTTCTGGGCTGTCTGTCACGCACTGCTCTTTTAAGGTCTATCCATAGATTTTCAATTATGTTGAAGTCAGGAGATTGTGAAGGCCATGGCAAAACCTTCAGTTTACGTCTCTTGATGTAATCCCCCATGGATTTCAAGATGTGTTTAGGATCATTATCCATTTGTAGAAGCCATCCTCTCTTTAACTTCAGCTTTTTCACAGATGGCATCAAGTTACCATCCAAAATTTGCTGAAATTTTATTGAATCCATTTTTCCTTCTACTCGTGAGATGTTCCCTGTGCCACTGGCTGCAACACAACCCCAAAGCATGATTGATCAAACCTCATGCTTAACAGTTGGACAGAGGTTCTTTTCATTAAATTCTGTGCCCCTTCTTCTCCAGACGTACCTTTCCTCATTCCGGCCAAAAAGTTAAATTTTAACCTCATCGGTCCACAGAACTTGTTTCCAAAATGCATCAGGCTTGTCTATATGTTCATTTGCAAAGTTCAAACGATGATTTTTGTGGTGAGGACGTAGAAGAGGTTTTCTTCTGATGACTCTTCCATGAAGACCATATTTGTACAAGTATCTCTTTATAGTGGAATAGTGTACCACAACTCCAGTGTCTGCCAGATCTTTCTGGAGGGATCGTGCAGTCAAACGTGGGTTTTAAATTGTTTTTCTCACAATCCTGCAAGCTGTTCTGTCTGATATTTTTCTTGGTCTTCCAGATCTTGCTTTAACTTCCACTGTTCCTGATGACTGCCATTTCTTAATTACATTCCGAACAGAGGATATTGACATCTGAAAACGCTTTGCTATCTTCTTATAGCCTTCTCCAGCTTTGTGAGCCTCAACTATTTTCAGTTTCAGTTTTCTAGACAACTGCTTAGAAGAACCCATGGTGCTGATTGTTGGGGCAAGGTCAGATGAGTCTGGGCATTAAAAACCTTTGAGATTGACATCACCTGGTCTTCCCAGACGATGATTGAGAACAATCCATGACACTGGCAGGTCTCAGCTTGGCAAAGGGGGCAGTGCATGCTATAAATTCTGCAGGGTGCCCAAACTTTTGCAGACGCCATTTTTTTGTTTTCTGTTATTTTGAAAGTGTAAATGATGAAATAAAATCTAACTTTTGTTGACATATTATAAGAATGTCTAATCTGTAATTTGATGCCTTTTGGAGATTTTTCCATCTTTCCTTGGCTTCTTTATGCACATGAATACAAATTTTTAGCTGGGGTGCCCAAACTTTCGATCCCCACTGTACGTGGGTTTGCCCATCCGTGCCGCCCTGAGCAGTACTTCTGCTATAGGGTGGACTAGAAGCGGTTAAAATACGTTTCTGCAAAATCCTATGACCCACAGTCTCCTAATGAACATAATCTCCTCCATCCCACTTTTGTTTAAAATCATTTATGGACTGAAGATACTGTAAACAGCAAAAGTGGAGGCGTACTGTTCATTTCCCCACAGAGGAGCTGCCATCAGTTATAATCCATCTAAAACATCTAGGTTTTCCTCTTACAGTGAAAGAGGCATTTTCAAGGCATGTTGCTGTGCTAAAGTGGAAGTCCAGTTAAACCTAACTAACATTAAACCTGCTCCCACCCCAATTCAGAGCCCTATACCAACTACCCTGTAAAGGAAAGATGTCTAATCTAAGGGCGTTGTGGTCTGGTCACATGATCGGCTCTATGGGTGACGTCACCACACAGGCACGATCCATGTATGGCCAGCTTTATTGGCTGTTGGTGGACGTATTCACTAATACAACTATCAACATTGCCAATATCTAAGCAGCTACAGCAATAGAAAGGGTGACAATGCTGCAGAGCGGTAGTAAACCGACCTTTTTAGTTAAAAAAAAAAAACGAAAAACCTGCAAGACAATGTCATAATGTGCTAGTATGCAATAATGCATACTAGCATAATATGTGAAACTTACCTTAAAACAAACCCTCCAGTGGTGCATGGTCACCACTGACAGGGCTTCCATCTTCACCCGGTCCTTCGTCCGGCTTCACGAGCTCTTGTGGCTTGAACGGCCGAGCTGCGATGACGTCAGTCATACATGCACGTGGGAGTCACTTTTTCCTGCACACAGCTCTGGAGGACGGACGCACGGGCATGCCATTTCTTCAGAGTGCAGGCACCTGGTGCTCCTTTACAAGTAAATATCTTCTAAATGGTGCACATTTAGGAGATATTTACAGTACCTACAGGTAAGCCTTATTATAGGTTTACCTGTAGGTACAAGTGGGAAAAAAAAACACTTTAATTAGAAAAGGAAGAATGTTGTCCCCCTTTCAAAATAAACACCTATATTCATTGGTTCTTCTGGCAGGATCAGCATTACTTACTGATGCCCCTGGTACCTTTTTCATAGGCTTTTTTGAGTTAGGGCAAGGACACAGGGGCCCCATGATCCCCTATTGCCCGGGAGCATTACTTATTATTTACTATATATTCCAAGGGGTACTTAGAAAACCAGAGATCCCAGTATAGGTAATTTTTCATTTAAACTTCGTTTAGTCATCTGTATGGAAAATGTAATATAAAATGTTAAGATATACTGTAATCTTTTTACCTTTCTTCTCTATCCTTATACTCCAATAGGGCCATTACAAGTAAATGTATTTTTTGGCTTCAAAACCAAGTGTACCCCAGCGCAATCATTCACATCCACCAATAAATTTGAACCTATGTACTGCTGCATACACTCATGTGTTCCCACAAGTGGAAATAACTCCAATACATATAAATAGTGCTGCACAGTACTAAAAAACTCAGCCAGTGCTCAGCTAATATTAAAATACTTTATTACAGGTACTGATATAGCGCCAATTTACGCAGCGCTTTACATATATATTGTACATTCACATCAGTCCCTAACCCTCAAGCAGTGTACAAGCTAAGATCCCTAACTCACATTCATACATACACATACTAAGGCCAATTTAGACAGGAGCCAATTCACCTTGTCAATGTGCCCAATAAATATGCTAATAAACAACTTAGAACTTGTGCTTCCAAACAAAATATCCATGTACCCTCTCAAATGTGTGTACCACTTTAAATGCAAATGCATCCATAGTGACTCATATGTGAAAAAATATAAAGAATTGTGTTGACTTATAATATATTTTTTGGTTTGTTAACATTTATTTAGCTTTTAAATGTGTTTTTATGCTTTTCTGGCTTTTTTCCCTGGGTTTCCCTGTTCCAAAATGATAGGTGGCAGTGGTATTCTCATATCCAAGATGACACTGCTTCCTTTTCCTGTTTGCCACTTCCAAAATGGGGGGCGGCAAGATGGTGCTGCCTGTTTTTGACAAGTGGGCATTTCT